GCTCCATCCCCGCCTCTTCGACCTGTTTGTTTCCTCTCCACCTATCCCTCATCTATCCGCCTCCCACTCTCTCCCTATTTATTTCAGAACCCCCTTCCCCTCCCCCTTTTCTGATGAAGGGTCTAGGCCCGAAACGTCAGCCTCTCTGCTGTTATGATGCTGCTTGGCCTGCTGTGTTCATCCAGCCCTGCACCTTGTTGTCTTAGACTGTGTTGCGTTGACCTCAGTGAAGAAGGGTCCTGACTCGAAACGTCAACTTTCCTGCTCCTCTGATGTTGCCTGGCCTGCTGTGCTTCTCCAGCTCCACACTGTGTTATCTCTTTCAATTATGGATAACTATTACAAAACCAGTTATAAAGGCACATTTAACAATAGAATATTCCAAGGAGACTCAGGCTATCAAATAAGATTTTACACCGTGCCACTCAAGGGGGCAGTAAGACAGACTTGATCAAAGGAAGACAGACAAAGGTACAGAGGTTTAGGGAGGGGTTCCAGAGTTTAGGACCCAGCCAGCTGAATGTTAATTGAAGATTAACTCATGGCAATTTAATATTGAAGGGCACCTTAAAAGCACTAACACCATCATTCTGTATGTGTTCATATGATGATACAGAAAAATTCTTGCAATGGCATTTCATTGATCTAATAACTCCCTAGTTCATTGGCTGAATTAAAAATGTGCAACTGGTGAAGTAGATATATGAAGAAAACACTGTCATCTTCAAAACATTGAATGTATATCAATTTACACTTTGAATGCATTCAACTAAAAAATAACATAGCTTACCTACAGATTGTACATCTTTCACCAGACTAGGCAGTTCTGATTTGCCATGGTTATCATCTGTGTTTTGCAAAATACTGCTTTCTGTGAACTGTCCAGTGCCATCTTCTTTACCTGGTGGCAAGCCTGATGCTGAAGAACTCAATTTAGAACTTTTCAACATCCAGGGTTTTTGAGTCAAGAGGCATTGACGTGCATCTAAACCAAAGCGAGTTTGAAGGCTGTAGGAAGCTATTGGCAACACCTTTATTTCTTGCCTTGAAGACCAAACTAGACCAGTAATTCTCAATGAAGTCCACCGGTAACAAATGCGATGACACAGTGGGGACATCTTTGTTCAATTTAACATGATCCTGTAAACAACAAATGTAATGGGTAAACAGTAAGCTGTATTCATTAGAACTATGGTAAAGATTATGTTAAAATTAATTTTAAGCGTTTCAAAACTTTAACCCTTTGAATACTTACAGATATGAAATAGAAAAGCAAAATGTGAAATGTAGACCATGGGCTGAATTTTCATTCTGGGGTTGCAACTCTGGCATGGGTACATTTCCGGGTCCTGACCCCATCACATCAGTGCCTGATGTCCAACACGATTTATTAACCTGAAGGCCAGTATGTCCATCACCAACCAATTAAAAATGGTGACTAGAGGGCCAACAGGAGGCTATTGAGCACTGAAAGATTGGTTGCTCACCTCTGACAGAGCTCCACTGTAAATGTAGAAGAGGGTGCTGTCGATGTCAGGAGGACAGAGATGGAGGTGTCCTCTGAAGACCGATTCATAAATTTTTAAAATCAACGGGGCCCCAGCTGTCAGGCCAGCAATGTAAATGGGCAATCTTTAGAATAGCTAGAAGCCACTGTGGCTATGGTAGTTGTGACGGGCAGGGGCACTATGAAAGGTCTCATACTAAAATGGAGTATAGCCTCTAGGTTTATGATAGAAGTAATGGTGTAAATCACACAGGCACTGGGCACAATCATCAAATCCTTACTGCATATTGGAGTGGTGCCAGAGAATTGGAGACTTAGAAATGTTACACCCCTAATTTAGAATAAAGGGAGAGAACCCAATAACTGCTGGCCCGACAACATGCCCATTTGCAGCAGGGACAGAGTGGTTAGCAAAGCATGTGAGATCTTCATCTTCACAAACAGAAGCATTAAGTACAAAAAGTACAGAAATGAATTTCTGCTGAACCCTTATAAAGCTCTGATTAGGCCGCACTGCAACCTCTCCAGTCTGGAATGTTAGGGACCAAGCCATTTCTGGATTATAGAGAAATGTTAAAATTCTTAACCACAAGTAATAGAACCAGAAAACATCATGCATATAAATATTTACCAGAGACACAAAATACTGATAACATTTTGTGAAGTAATAATAAAATTTATTTTACTTATTCAAATACACATATTTATGCTTACAATTTCAAAGTACTGTATTAAAATGCTGTTGATGACTTAAAGGGAACAAGTTATTCCATACATTGCTTTGTTTCACCAATATTTAGAAGAGGCGTAGGAGAAAATTGATGATAATTGATAGCAAGAGCAGTCAACTCTGGGTCCTTTGTTTCATTGACTCTGCTGGTTGATGGGATCGAGTTCAGTGATGTTGATGGCGCGTGTGCAAACGACTTTCCAACTTCATCAAACATTTGCTGCAACTTCATTTGTTTCATGTGTTTTGGCTGCTCACTTATCAGTTTCTCCTGGATCCTGTGTACATGCATTATATCTTGCTGGCTTACAAAACTTTGTTGCTCAAGAAAGCGAATGAAACGGGAAGCTAGACTGATCCCCTCTTCCAAGGTAATTTTCTTCCCAGTAGCATTATCTTCTTCATTGCTGGTATCACTATCCTCAGACTTGTGGTGTAAAACTACCTCAAATATCTCTGAATTTGTTACTTGTTGTACAACTGAAGTATTATCTTCACAATTTAACCATGTCAAAATGTCTTCCTCATTCAAGTCACTTCCCAGTTGCTTGGTACAACACAAGAGATCAGTCACCATTGCCTTGGCTTCACTTAAATTAAAACCCTCCGAGCTTTCCCCTGTGTCCTCATCGTTAAACATAATTACAGGACACAACTTACGCCATGCATTTTGTAAGGTTCTCCTTGTGACACTGTCCCATGCATTTGCCAAACACCAAATAGCATCTTTGAGACTCAAGGCATTCTTAAAAGCATCAACACCACCAGTATTGTAGCTGCTCACAAGACGACGCAAAAAACTGTTTCTGTAGTGACTTTTCATTGACCTAATAACTCCTTGGTTCATTGGCTGAATTGAAGATGAGCAACTAGCAGGTAGATAGGTAGGGAAGACATTGTCAGCATCTAATTGTTCTCTAGGGGGGTGAGCTGTACAGTTATTTAAAAGAAGGACAATTTTGCAATCTGCAGCCAAGCCAACCTCTCTACAGTGTGCACGAGCCTCTGGAACAAAATGATTATGGAACCAATCACTCAATATTTCCTGGGTGACCCACGAACATTTATTGGCTTCATAAAGCACCGGCATAATTTTCATTCCTTTGAAAACACGAGGACATTTACCAACAACCAAAAGTTTACACTTATGTGTTCCAGCAGCATTAGCACATGCGAGCACAGTAATTCTTTCTGATGATTCTTTGTAATCATGTACCATCATCTCCTCTGCACCAGCAAGCCTGTGTGGTGGCAAACATCTCCAGAAAACATCTGTCTCATCCGCATTATATATTTGCTCAGGGCTAAGATCCTCATCCTTCATTAACTTTGCAAAGTCAGTTATGTAACATTCAACAGCCCGTTTATCTGCAGAAGTTTGTTCACCAGTAGCCTTGAGGCGAATTCCGTGCCTATGTTTAAACTTCTGCAACCAACCTTGAGAGTACTCACACACAGAATTAATTCTCAAATCAGTATGAAATTGTTTGGCCTTTTCCATCAGCATTGTTCCCGAAATAGGGAGCCCCTCACTACGACGTTGCCTGAACCACTTATATAGGACATTATCATGGTCAGCAGACTTAGCACGATGCAGCGTTCTGCGTTCCCTAATTCCTTTAACTGTGTCACTTTCAGCACAAAATTTAAATAGCTTTTCACGCTGCTTGTTGATGTCATAAATTGTTGAGACCCCCACACCATATGCCTCACACAATGACTTTACTGAAGAACCTTTATCTAGTTTATTTATGATTTCAATCTTTTCTGAGATTGTAAGTGTAACATGCTTACGTTTTGTTGCACTTTTCTTAGATGCCATGGTGAGAGTTTAAAAGACAAACTATATCCTGAGAATAATTGGGTCTGCTCAAAATCACCTCTGTAAAGAGAGTTTGGGCGGGAAATGGCAGACGACAGAGGGGATGAGGTGATCCTGTAGGGTGGAAGAGTACAACAAAGTTAAAAAGTCACTCTGAGTACAAGACAAGGTTACAAAGTCACTCAACCCTTGAAATCCTGCGCTTTCCTCAACGAGGTGAGCTCATGCCTTCCCGATTTGCTGCAGCACCTCGGTCTAGATCTGCTCAAAAAATAAAATCCAGAGAACTGTTTTTATCTTTCTAAACAATAAATTTCCAGGCCGGAGAGGTTGCAGAGTATTGCTCCCGGTTCTTGTGATCACACGTGAGGAAGCATCTGGATGTGCAGAAGAAACTTACCAGACGTGACAGCATAGATGAGGGATATTAGCTGCAAAGTTAGTTTGGAAAAGTTGGTGTTGTTCTCCTGGAACAAAGGACATTCAGTAAGAGCTGTATAAGATTATGACATAAAGTAGACAAGTAAAAACTGTCCAGAATTAGGTGGTAGTACAAGGGCTAAGGGAACACAGCTTTAAAGTTTAGGGTAAGGGAAATAACCTTTCTTTAAGCAACAAGTATAATTGACCTGGAAGATGCTGTCTAACAGGTTGCTGGAAGTAGAAACCATCATTTATAAAGGAGATTGAACAGACGCTACAGGGATTGAGTAAGGAAATGGAATCGAATGGGTTGTTCCGTAGAGAGCTAGCATATACTCGAATGACCAAATGCTATCCTTCTATGCCCCAAATGATTACGTACTGTTCATGTTCGAGAGGCAATCTAAATTAATTTAAAGAACAGAAACAAGTCGGGAAAGCTGTTAAAAAGGCGTTGGGGTTTGCTAGGCCTTTATCAGGCGCCGACTAATCTGCAACTGGTGGATTATGTCCATCTCTGGGCAGCACGCCACTTTCGGAAAGAGATGAAAGTCTGAAGGAGTTATCAGAGCGGTACTGGGATAAAAGATTTCGTTTGGGCTACCTGGAGAGAGTAAGGTGAAGCCGCCCGGATAGCGCACACAACAGCCTCACAAGTACTCACCGTAATCATTCCGACCGGGAAACAAAGTGTAGAGACTGAATGAGCACTGCTCCAAGGAGGAAGAGAAACAGCACAGCACAGGCTGCAGCTCCGCTGTACGGCACATGGTTCAGTGCTCACACAGGCTACAGCTTCCTCAGCTCCAAATCGGTGAAGGCATAAACCTACTAAATCGGAGGTGGAGACGTAAGCCATTCGGCCCGCTGAGATTGCTTCGCCACTTAATTAATCGTGGTTGATCTGTTAATCGTCAACTTCACTTTCCTTCGGTCCCCCTATAACCTTTGATTCCCTCACTGATATAAAAATGTCTTTGTCAGCCTTGAATGTACTTAATAACCCTGCTTCAAAAGCCCTCTGGAATAATGAAGTCCACACATTAATTACCATTTTAGAGAAAAAAGTCCTTCACATCGCAGTTTTAAACTCTCTAGTCCTAGACTCTTTCACAGGGGAAACAACCTTTCCACAATCTACCCTCTTGAATCCTTTAAGAATCTTGTATATTTCAGTAAGGTTACCTTTCATTCTTCTAAATTCTAACAAGTACAGGCCTACTGAACCTTTCCTTAAAGACAGTCCCTTCATACCTGGTATCAGCCTACTGAACCTTTGCTGGACTGCTTCCAATGCCAATGTATCATTTTTTAGATGAGAGCCCCGAAACTGTTCACAATATTCCAGCTGTGGTCCGACTAGTGCCTTCTGTAGTTTTAGCAAAACCTCCCTACTTTTTTACTCCATTCTCTTTGAAATAAATGTCAGCATTCCATTTGCTCTCTCCCTTGTTAGGGATGGTCTTTTAATCTATGCTGTTTCTAGCTCTCTCCACACAGACTTGAGAACTATCTCTTTCTCTTGTCAGACTTAGTAGGTCTCTGTCTCTCTCTACTTTGTGTCCTACTGGGCTGCGTAAGGAGGTCTCTTTCTCACCTGCCACAATTTAGATTCAGGGCGCTGTTTCAACCTAGCGCTCTCAACACGGACTGGGGAGCTATCTGTTTCCCTCTCCTGATAGAGTAGGCTAGAAGGTGTCTCTCTGTGTATCCTACTAGGCTGGGTTAGGAATTTTCTCTGTCTCTTTATTCTGCTGATCTGGATTAGATGGTGTCTCCGTTTGTGTCTGGATTGAGAGACATCTCTCTGTCTTGATTAAAAGTGTTTCTCTGTATGTCCCATTGGTCTGAGTAAGAGGTGGCTCTCTGCCGCTGTCTAGAAAAACAAGTGTATCTCTTTATGAGATAGTAGGAACTGCAGATGCTGGAGAATCTGAGATAACAAGGTGTAGAGCTGGATGAACACAGCAGGCCAAGCAGCATCAGAGGAGCAGGAAGGCTGACGTTTCGGGCCTTCTTTT